AAGATATGCGTTAATAGCATTGGTAATATTGTTTCTAATCGATACACAATTATTATAGGAAGTTTCTATGCTTTCATGCAATAAGGAGCTTCACAGACGTGAATTTCAACTGACGTACTTAGAGAAGTAAATGACTTAGAATTAAGCATCTTTTTTAACTTTTTTTTCCCGAAATCTTTTGTAAGCTTAGTCACTTGATCTAAAATATAGTATGACTAATGAGATAAACTAAACTAAAACCCCAGTTTCTTGAAATGAATTGTCTTTTTTATCTTAGTCTTGCAAGCCACTTTCTGATTTCCAGGGACGACCCAGTATTTTTTATTCAAATTGCTGCTTTTTGTTAAAAATGTGGTCTGGCTTAGCCACGCGTTTTCAACTCTGTTGTAATTCATTTAGAAAGCACTCTGTGAGAAGACGTACATGTACTTATATAATTTGATCGAAACCCAGGACTCGTAAGAGCTGTGACGTAATGATGACAGGAGAAACACTTGTGAAAGTTTGGAAAACTCAAAAGAGTCTAGAAAAACTCGCCTACGGCTCGTTAGCCTGCAAAAATGGCGTGATTTTGTGTGCGAGTCTTTTGTTTCAGCGGACGAACTTCAAACAAAAACCACGAGAAGAATAGTATGTAGCGAACCAAAGCTCTTGCATGTGCGCGAAATCCCAACAGCAACGCAGGCTAGCAGCTAGTTTATAATTTTCTTACAGCATTTGTAGTTCTACCAAACTTTCTCCCGTGTTTCCATAAATCGACAAAAACACGGAAACCTTTTTCTATTCTTAAGAAATATAGACGTTATCTGGTAGACGTTTCATTTCTTATAGCTCCTTGTCAATTAACACGTTCTTTTTTATTTTTACACGGCAGAAGGACTCGGTCAGTCGTCCATTCTTAGTGATTATGGAAACATCAGTTACATAAATACATTGAAATCGTTCCTTAGCCCGGTCACCCAGTATGGAAAATGGGTGAAATGCTATCGAGCAATGACGGATGGCTGGGAGTCTTACACCTTCCATTCCAACTGCGATTTTAAAGCACCGACAGTTACATTTAACCTTGTTGGTAACTATATCTTTCGAGGATATGCTAGCGTCTCGTGGCAGAGTAAAGATCAATCAGTAGTACTCTATACCTACTTATATCCCACCATGCCATAAGGCACACAAGGCTTCGACATTTTCTTTCCACCCACTTCGATTTGCTGCTAGAGGTCCTAACATTCACTCCGGACGATATCGAAGTAGTATACGAGACAAATACTCGGCGAGCACGATAAACAGTCAGTGTGATAGCAATACTTAGGAACACAAGATTGAAAGGAAATAGAGACAATTGCATGCAACACTGTTATGGTGCAGTAGAGCAATGTTCATTCAACATGAAATGAACTTCTTAAGGATTTCTTCCTAGTGCACATTAATTATACGTATCACCAAATGTTTTATTCGCAATACACTCAAAGTTAGTTACTGTTAATGCTAATGCATTTTGAACAAGACGCCTAAAGGCGATTCCGTGGGATGCTTTGGCTAGGGAGCGTAGCATTGGAATGAATTGTGAAGTTACAGTAAATTGCCACGATCAATCAGTTAGATCAGCCATAGAAATCACAGTAGAAAGTCGTGAAGAAACGGTCACTGTGTTTGTAGTGGAAAATAGGGCAGGCGAAAAATTACTGTGTGAGAGGAGCCTCCTTCCCCGACTCCTATTTCTTCTTTCCGGGCGATCTACAAGATGGAACGAGAGTTTGCATGGTGTTTAACCGAAATAATATTGCAACGTGGAACATGGAATGGAAAATGGAACTGCCAGAAAATCTTGAGACATGAATGGTAACGCAACGTTTTAATTATTTGAAGACTAAAATATTGTGAAGGGCTGTATTGCCGTCAATGAAAGT